AATTTGTGAATTCGACAGTACCAACGCTGCCACTGAAAATATTTCTTTAAAACACTATAAGTAGCTCGTTAAGGACCATAACCCCCCCCCCCCCCACTTTTCCTTCCCCCCCCTCCCCCCCCACTTTTCCTTCCCCCCCTCCCCCCCCCCCTACGTTTAAAATCGTTGGCTCTGCTTGTAAACATTTAGAGTGAACACAGCTCACTAAAACCATGAAGGGGTGGGGAGGTAGGGAGCGCGTTTACAGCTTGTTTTCTAGGCGCGTTTGCAGCTTGTTTTCTAGCGGCTCCCAGAAGAGAATTATATATATAGATAGATAGATATGTCCTTATTTGATATCGAAGTTTATATACTTTATAAACTGTAAAAAAATAAGTATGCAAATAATTTGTTTCGAAACGTGACAATAACCTCTACTGCACAAATAAAAGTAAACATTAGTTCGCAAAATTACTTTAGTAAACATGTATTCATTAACTTACCTAAACATGTATTCACTAACTTACCTAGACATGTATTCATTAACTTACCTAAACATGTATTCACTAACTTACCTAGACATGTATTCATTAACTTACCTAAACATGTATTCACTAACTTACCTAGACATGTATTCATTAACTTACCTAAACATGTATTCACTAACTTACCTAGACATGTATTCATTAACTTACCTAAACATGTGTTCATTAACTTACCTAAACATATATTCATTAACTTACCTGAACATATATTCATTAACTTACCTGAACATGTATTCATTAACTTACCTAAACATGTATTTATTAACTTACCTAAACATATATTCATTAACTTACCTAAACATATATTCATTAACTTACCTAAACATTTTTTCATTAACTTACCTAAACATGTGTTCATTAACTTACCTAAACATGATTTCATTAACTTACCTAAACATATATTCATTAACTTACCTAAACATGTGTTCATTAACTTACCTAAACATGTTTTCATTAACTTACCTAAACATGTTTTCATTAACTTACCTAAACATGTATTCATTAATTTACCTAAACATATATTCATTAACTTACCTAAACATGTATTCACTAACTTACCTAGACATGTATTCATTAACTTACCTAAACATGTTTTCATTAACTTACCTAAACATATATTCATTAGCTTACCTAGATATGTATTCATTAACTTACCTAAACATGTGTTCATTAACTTACCTAAACATGTGTTCATTAACTTACCTAAACATGTGTTCATTAACTTACCTAAACATGTGTTCATTAACTTACCTAAACATATATTCATTAACTTACCTAAACATGTGTTCATTAACTTACCTAAACATGTGTTCATTAACTTACCTAAACATATATTCATTAACTTACCTAAACATGTTTTCATTAACTTACCTAAACATATATTCATTAACTTACCTAAACATGTATTCATTAACTTACCTAAACATGTTTTCATTAACTTACCTAAACATATATTCATTAACTTACCTAAACATGTTTTCATTAACTTACCTAAACATATATTCATTAACTTACCTAAACATATATTCATTAACTTACCTAAACATGTTTTCATTAACTTACCTAAACATATATTCATTAACTTACCTAAACATATATTCATTAACTTACCTAAACATGTTTTCATTAACTTACCTAAACATATATTCATTAACTTACCTAAACATATATTCATTAACTTACCTAAACATGTTTTCATTAACTTACCTAAACATATATTCATTAACTTACCTAAACATATATTCATTAACTTACCTAAACATGTTTTCATTAACTTACCTAAACATATATTCATTAACTTACCTAAACATGTGTTCATTAACTTACCTAAACATATATTCATTAACTTACCTAAACATATATTCATTAACTTACCTAAACATATATTCATTAACTTACCTAAACATATATTCATTAACTTACCTAAACATGTTTTCATTAACTTACCTAAACATATATTCATTAACTTACCTAAACATGTTTTCATTAACTTACCTAAACATATATTCATTAACTTACCTAAACATGTTTTCATTAACTTACCTAAACATATATTCATTAACTTACCTAAACATATATTCATTAACTTACCTAAACATGTGTTCATTAACTTACCTAAACATGTGTTCATTAACTTACCTAAACATATATTCATTAACTTACCTAAACATGTTTTCATTAACTTACCTAAACATATATTCATTAACTTACCTAAACATGTGTTCATTAACTTACCTAAACATGTGTTCATTAACTTACCTAAACATATATTCATTAACTTACCTAAACATGTTTTCATTAACTTACCTAAACATATATTCATTAACTTACCTAAACATATATTCATTAACTTACCTAAACATGTTGTCATTAACTTACCTAAACATATATTCATTAACTTACCTAAACATATATTCATTAACTTACCTAAACATGTTTTCATTAACTTACCTAAACATATATTCATTAACTTACCTAAAGGCTGGACATGTTCCTGGCACGGGCCCTGACCTCATTAAAGACATGCAACAAAAGTAAATACACTCGGCTAGTTCGCTAACGTTAACCCGGAGCTGACGAGAAGTAAGCGAGATTCTGTGTGTATGTGTGTGTTTGTGTGGTTGTGTGCTTGTGCGTGTGTGTGTTTGTACATGTGTGTGTTTGTGCGTGTATGTGTTTGTGTGTGTGTGTGTGTGTGTGTTTGTCTATGACTCTGCAATTATTGTTAAAGGAACGCCCAAGTCGTAAGCAAAGTGATGGAGATGACCCGCTATTAGAAAAATAAAACAGACAACACGTACTGAGACTTTAAAACTTCCTGGCTGGTGCACGCTAGTTGACCAGAATAGAGCAACAAACACTGAATAAACACAGTAAGACGAGGAAACAAAGAGTAGAGTATACGCCCCCCCCCCCCCTCCCCCACCCACACACATACAGATTTTAGCGTGCTTGACAACATGCGTTGTATGTTACTTATTCTAAATATATTTTTGTTTAATTTTAAAATATAAGTTAGTTTTATAATTTATATTGCTCTGCGCTAAACCATGAGAGTTCTTGCAGAGAATATATAGCATAGTTTCTGTAGTTTACCTCTGCTTACCTGTAGTTGTAAGTATCTCAGGATTAAGATTTGATTCACTTAGCACAGATGCGTCGCTAGGCGAGGGGCCGCGTGCCCACTCAAGAGGGCGCCAAGGTGGTAAAAAAATATAACAAGTTCGATCTGAATTCAACAGTTGAATTTAAGAAAATACCGCTATTTGGCGGACATTAAAAAAAACCAGTTAATGCACAATTATTTCTAAAAAGCACCCCCTACCTTTACAAACGTTGTGTAAGTGGTCGCCTATTTTTTGCCAAAGTAAATAACTACGAATAAATGGGGGAGGGGGGCGCTATATTGATAGTTCGCCCCGGGCGCCTGACTAGGTCGCTACGCCACTGGATTTGCCTATACATTAATAAAAGTTATCTCCGTTGACGTTTGCTACAAAAGATGCCCCGCCTCTCTGCAGTCGTCCTTGTTATAGTCCCTTGTGCGTCTCCTGGTGGTGTCTAGGCAACGAGTGTGTCTAATGTCTAATATCTAATCAAGGCATGACCTTGTTGACTGTTTCAAGCAGTGGCGTAGGCAGGGGGGGGGGGTTAGGGGGGGGTCATAACCCCCCCCCCCCATAGACCCCTCGGTATATATAAAAAGTATGAGGGGGGGGGGGTGCAAATTGAAAGTTTGAAGGGGGGGGTGCAACCCCCCCCCTTGAGACGATCCTGGCTACGCCACTGGTTTCAAGGGGCAGGTAAATTGTATTTGATTGTATACTTAAGTATATAAATTGTATTAGAGTGTTTATTAAGTAGATACATTGCATAGGATTGTATACATTAAATGGACAGATTCCCTTGTCGAATAGTGTCAGATTATCTTTTAAAATTGAAACTTTATTTTATTTTCGCATGGATGCTGATTAAAAGTAAAATATATTTTCGCTAAATAGAAATGAAATTTAATATGTATATATAGCATTCTGGAAAAATCATGTTGCGTGTACCCAGTCATCAGAAAAGCGGATAATGTTGTATAGCATATGGTCAATAATAACAATTCAATTTTCTAATTAAACTTTAATTTAAAGGTGTGATAATTTACCGTAACGAGAATGGCATAAGAAAGATAACTCATTAAAATATTATGCTATAATTTTTTTACAGAGTTATCGGACCTTGTTGAACATTTTATAGACCAACATCGTGTGATAAATAATTAATTGAGAACGTTATTTCCAAAAGTTTTTCTTTTCTCGGTTTATTGTGTTTGATTAATTATCGCATATGTTTAGCAAAAGCTTAACACAATTATTTAAATAGTGAATTAAATTATAAACTAAGTAGTTCATTTATCAAGCAAGAAAAGTAGTCGATGATTTTGTAGAAGCGAATGTTCAATAATATCTATAATGTTTACAAGATCTAAGCATATGTTAAAACAACTTACCAAAATAACGAAAATGGATGAAGAAACAAAACTCCACAAAGCATTATACCACGTTATGTCACAGAGTTATCGGTCCTTAACCAACTTAAAACAGGCCACGATCGTGTCATAAATAGATTACATTGTTTGTTTTCTGATAAGGTTTTGGCTCTCCATTTATGATGTTTGTTTAGGCATCACATGTAGTTATGTGTAGAAGAGGTTTAAAACTTCAAATAGGGAAATGTTATTAAAATCTACACTATGCTTCATGTGTTGAGCTTGCTGTCGTAGAGTATGTTCTACATCCGGGGATGTAAAACAATTCATCCATCTAGTGATGTTGATATTTACATGAACATAATTTATTATGTATGGCCATTATGGTAATTGGTAGTTATGATTAATAATTTAATTTTTTTATTCTTCCTCATAACTAACTGTCCACAAACCCACTAGTACACAGAACACGAATGTTAAAAACACTCTGATGAATGTTGGTATTTATTTTTTATTTGATCAACTCAAACCGTTCAAAAAGCATCTTGAATGATACGTTACAAAAGAATGACACGTCTAGCTTTAGAAAATGTAAGCTAAAAAGGATAGGATGAAAACTGTAGACTGAGCCACGGTCAAGGCCATGTCATTGGAACTTGACCTCTTAGTCTCAAGGTTCAGAAGTCGGGAGGCTCTATCTAGGCTCCCGTTGTTAGGCGACGGATTTATCTTTAATATGTGGCAGATTAATGGATATATATCCACAGATTGTATCGGCTCCACTGTTTGATTAGATCTGAATGCTGGCCCCTTAGCGATGAATATTGGTTTCATGTGAGGTAACTCATTGTCATAGCCGTGTCCGCCATTGTAGACTTCACTTTGACGTTTTGTTGCATTCTGGGGGAGGTAAACATTAGCAAGGCTGTAACCATAGCAACAGAAACGTTTTACCTACTAGGCAGGGGTCTCCAAACTTTTCAGTCCGAGGGCCACATTAACTATCAATTTTCAGTTCGGGGGCCAGATAGTTCCAAACATGTCTTTGATTTTTCTGGGCAAAGTTCCTCAGCCATCACCAACAAACGTTTTTTCCGTGAACAAAAAGATCTCCGCGGGCCGGATGAGAGGACCTCGCGGGCCGCATACGGCCCGCGGGCCGTAGTTTGGAGACCCCTATACTGAAGTGATAATCATTCTAGCGTAGATTATTGTAATCAATGATAGTGCATCAGTAACACACACAAATTGTAATTATAGACTCGCCACCACCCAGTATATAAGCTTAGTAAAGTTCCATTTCGAACCTGACGGTCCATGGGGCAAGTGAAGTAGAGTTCACCTGTTTCTGTGACCTCGGCATATGAAGGGATAGTATGGTCAGCACTACGCCCAGCCGCCTTCACTTTCCCTAACATCAGCTAGGTACACATCAGAGCTGAGTGGACTCAAGGACGTTCTACTTATAAACTTAGAGGACTATATTATTTGCTTAGAACAGCTCTTAGCATGCAGAATATGTATAAGAAGCGCTAAGAATTATAAATTATGGGGATCAAATATTGATTTTAAAAATTAACTTGTAACATCTACATTAGAAACATTTATAAGACTTACAGCAGAGATAGTCCACCCCTCATCAGCGTAAGCAAACACCGGCATGACCCTCCTGTTGTGTTTCAGGTGGAAGCGGTCAGGTATGTTCTCCTTCAACATCACCCGCATGTGCGGGACGCCACTGAGGGCCGCCACAAGTTGAGAGTTTTTGCCAGGTTTGGGGAGGATGTGAGACGATGCGCCTTCGTCTACCACAAACTGCAGCAGTGAGTCATTCAGATAGTGGCTTAAATCAATGATCTGGGTGGGAAAATACTTTGTTAGAATGTTTGAAAAATTCATCATAGATTAACGAAACTTGTATTTCTTTACAATAAATAATATATCTTTAAAAGCTTGTTTGTATCCAACACTCTAGTCATTCGTGTATCCGTGTATTAAGGAGAATACGAAAAAGTGAGATTTAAATATTGATTGCATTTAGAATTTAGGAATAAATTTCGACCCCATCGGCAATTTTACAAATTGTGTCGTAGAAACTATTCGAATTTTGAAAGAATCATAAATTCCTTATCACTGTCACTCCGATCAATGGGCGAATTTTGTAATCAAACGTGCTTATTAACCTAACTAATTAAACTGGCTATTTTTGTTGTATAAACATAAGAAAAATACCCGGTTTTTTAAATCCACTGCCGTCATGCCGTGGTCGCTTGTTATAATCACATTCACTTTGTCCTGAGGATTTTAAATAAAGCATCAGAAAACTTTATAACTTTGTCCTGAGGATTTTAAATAAAGCAACAGAAAATGTTATAACTTTGTCCTGGGGATTTTAAACATAAAGCATCAGAAAACTTTATAACTTTGTCCGGAGGATTTTAAATAAAGCAACAGAAAATGTTATAACTTTGTCCTGGTGATTTTAAACATAAAGCATCAGAAAACTTTCTAACTTTGTCCTGGGGATTTTAAACACAAAGCAACAGAAAACTTTACAACTTTGTCCACATAGGTTAAATTTTTGTTACCAGAGTTTCTTTCAGCCCCCCCCCCTCCTGAATTTAATACAATTTATATAGAAAATAGAAAATATATAATTTTACTAAAGTCCGCCCTCCCTCCCCCCCCACGGAAAATTTAGCCCCCCCCCCCCCGGAGAATATGTCTGAAAGAAACACTGGTTGTCACTCCACTGAGTACAGTACAAATAGTAGCACTATAGTATAAGGTCACGTTAACCTTTGGTAACAGGTGGCGCCACTTAGATCTCTCTGTGTTATCTTTGACAAGTTGTGGACATGTTGATTCCCTGCGACATCCAGGCTAACAAGAACACCAAGGTAAATATATGCTAAAACTAGATGACGTCTGAAGTGGACGACATCACGGACTGAATTGGTAAAAATCAGTAGGAGGTAGTGAATGACGGCTGTTGGATAGTAACCCCTCGCTCCCCCGAATATAACCCCCGTCCTACATAAACCCCCTGACCAATCCCCAACCCCCCCCCCCCCCTCTTCGTGACACAAAAAAACAACTTTAAATATAAGTTTACACAACAAATACTAACCAATACTGTGTGCAGGCTAGGTTTAAAACTGCATCAATGCTTTATGAATTAAAATATTTGCCAGTATTCTATGTACATTGGCGTAGTAAGAGATGGGGGGTGGGGAAGGCAGCTGTTCCGTGATGCCAAAACTAGTAGAAAACAAATTACGTAAAGCCCGAATTGTATTGAAAATCTGTAGCTTTGCATTAGATAAGTTGTTCTCGTGTAATTACATTAATTTACAATAATCGTTAGTGTTGTACAGCTCACTGTTGATATGCTATAAACTGATCGAGCGTGCTGGTATTGTAGGACTACTATTGTGTACAATTTGGAGGTGGAGGGGGGAGTCTTGAAGTGGCTGACTGCTATTTATTACAATTTAGAGGTGTGCTGGGAGGGGGGATCTACTAATTTGTGCAATATTGAGGTAGGGGGCTCTTGGAGTGTGTGACTTGCTACGTGTGACAGGTTTAAAAATACATGACAAACTACAAGCAACGATATTGATATAACACGGCCGGACTCTGCTTTCTAAGATTGTATACAACCCAGTGTATTACAGATCACAGGCCCAACACCCGAGAGATGTTCCAGTATGGGGGCGACATTAAATGTAAGGTCTTGAAGAGAGAACAACAAAACATAGCCGCTACCTCTAACCCAGTGTCGTTCAACTTCTGGACTATCAAACCAACAATGGCGTCCATTCTTTGTATGACTGGCACCATTGCCGGACTCTCCGGCCCGTGTCTGTGTCCACTCTCGTCTGGCTCCGAGAAATAGACCAGGGTCAAGTCGTAATCGTCCCTCGCCATCCACGACACGACAGCCTCCACCCGCTCTTCAAACGGCACCGATGAATTGTACGGCATCCATCTGTCAGCCATTTCTCCGTGGATGGGAGACTCGCTGCCAGGCCAGAAGTAAACCCCTGCAGTAGAAGAAATTGTAGTCAGCATAAATACTAGAGGACATGGGACAATACACCTGCAGTAGAAGATAATATAGTCAACACAAATACTAGATGACATAGGACAAAACACCTACAGTTGAAGAAATTATAGTCAGCACAAATACTAGATGACATAGGACAAAACACCTACAGTTGAAGAAATTATAGTCAGCACAAATACTAGATGACATAGGACAAAACACCTACAGTAGAAGAAATTTTTATTATAGTCAGCACAAATACTAGTTGAAGAAATTATAGTCAGCACAAATACTAGAGGACATGGGATAAAACACCTGCGGTAGAAGAAATTATAGTCAGCACAAATACTAGTTGAAGAACTTATAGTCAGCACAAATACTAGAGGACATGGGATAAAACACCTACAGTAGAAGAAATTATAGTCAGCACAAATACTAGAGGACATGGAACAAAACACCTTCAGTAGAAGAAATTATAGTCAGCACAAATACTAGAGGACATGGGATAAAAAACCTTCAGTAGAAGAAATTATAGTCAACACAAATACTAGAGGACATGGGATAAAAAACCTTCAGTAGAAGAAATTATAGTCAACACAAATATTAGAGAACATGGGATAAAACACCTGCGGTAGAAGAAATTATAGTCAGCACAAATATTAGAGGACATGGGATAAAACACCTGCGGTAGAAGAAATTATAGTCAGCACAAATACTAGTTGAAGAAATTATAGTCAGCACAAATACTAGAGGACATGGGATAAAAAACCTTCAGTAGAAGAAATTATAGTCAGCACAAATACTAGAGGACATTGTACAAAACACCTGCAGTAGAAGAAATTATAGTCAGCACAAATACTAGAGGACATTGTACAAAACACCTGCAGTAGAAGAAATTATAGTCAGCACAAATACTAGAGGACATTGTACAAAACACCTGCAGTAGAAGAAATTATAGTCAGCTTAAATACTAAAGGACATAGGACAAAACACCTGCAGTAGAAGAAATTATAGTCAGCACAAATACTTAACATCCATACAAAGAGGAAAATGTATTAATAACACATTAAGGAAGTAATTGGATTACACACTTTCAGTAGAATTATTTGGACTAAACATCTTGGAGTCAACACCTTCAGTAGAAGACATTGAATTTGGCTGAGAAATAAACTTGTCATATTTGCTGTTTTCGTTAAATTAGAAATGGATACAGGTCACATATTTTCATTTGTTAACACTTAATTATTTTGTTTTTATTCATTTTTTTGCATACGAAGGGTTTGATCTCAAAAGACGCAATCCAGTATGATGGCGAATAGATTGTGAAGGCGGTCTCACTTCTGTGATCGTGTACTACATCGAAGACAGGGAGAAATGTAACGTAGCGTTTTACCTCCCTTGAAGTGATCAAAACCCGATCAATGGATAATTAGATGTGAAAAAATATTAACTGAAACCCAATTATCGAATCTTTAAAAAAATATGAAGAATACTGAAATTAAACCACAATGAAAATTTACTTGAAGACGGAAATGACGATTTCTCACCTGTTTTGAGACCCGCTTTCTTTGCTGTTATCCAGATGGGTTCTCCCCCTTCCCACCAGCGAGACTCCTTGTTTGATTGGCCAAAAAAACTGTTGAACTCGGGGTCATACATTCGGTTGGCAACGATTCCATGAACTTCGGAGTAGAGACCTTAAGGAATACATTCGTCGCCACAGATGTTACATACTGACCAGCCTGGTTTCATGGCTTACAGTTTAAACAGAGCAGATTGTTTATTTGTATGATAAAATCATGTTATAGGTGTTGTTATTTTTAATGTAAGTCAATCAGGATTGCATTAGAATTTAGTATGGGTACATTTATTGCAATGGTTGTCTGCTGGTGATAAGGAAATGTTTTGGTCATTACAATACTGACCTGTGGCCATGGTAAAGTGACAAGGAAATGTGCTGGTCACTACAATACTGACCTGTGGCCATGGTAAAGAAATGTGCTGGTCACTACAATACTGACCTGTGGCTATGGTATAGTGGCAAGGAAATGTGCTGGTCACTACAATACTGACCTGTGGCCATGGTAAAGAAATGTGCTGGTCACTACAATACTGACCTGTGGCCATGGTAAAGAAATGTGCTGGTCACTACAATACTGACCTGTGGCTATGGTATAGTGGCAAAGAAATGTGCTGGTCACTACAATACTGACCTGTGGCCATGGTATAGTGACAAGGAAATGTGCTGGTCACTACAATACTGACCTGTGGCCATGGTAAAGAAATGTGCTGGTCACTACAATACTGACCTGTGGCCATGGTAAAGAAATGTGCTGGTCACTACAATACTGACCTGTGGCCATGGTATAGTGACAAAGAAATGTGCTGGTCATTACAATACTGACCTGTGGCTATGGTATAGTGGTAAAGAAATGTGTTGATCACTACAATACTGACCTGTGGCCATGGTAAAGAAATGTGTTGATCACTACAATACTGACCTGTGGCCATGGTATAGTAGTAAAAGAAATGTGTTGATCACTACAATACTGACCTGTGGCCATGGTAAAGAAGAAATGTGCTGGTCACTACAATACTGACCTGTGGCCATGGTATAGTGACAAGGAAATGTGCTGGTCACTACAATACTGACCTGTGGCCATGGTATAGTGACAAGGAAATGTGCTGGTCACAAAACTGTTGTTCATGAAGGGCATGGTCACACCTTGAGAGACGAGACGGTCAAAGTTTGGCGTCTCTGTTTTCTTGAGGTAGTCGTAGCGAAAACCGTCCATTGAGACAAGAAGGACCTTAGGCCGAGGGCCGGCAGCAAAAATCAATGGCAGTAGAGCCAGTAACACGAGCTGAGAACACATGCCGGCAGAGAGTAATTTATTTAATTAGCTGATTAATATGAACTCTGCAAGAAAGAAGCTACTGCTTTCCTCTCTGCCGCAACCGGACTACGTTTTTTTGTGCATATGGTGACAACAAATATGATATCATGCAGCTACCAGTACCTGCTAGATACCATACAGAGGTGTAAAATGTCTTGGATAGAGGGGTGGTTGAATTGGTGCTTACAGCTGTAGATAAGAGATAACGTTTGGACTGAGTGTATAACTAAGATGGTCTGTACGAAGCAATCTCAAAGTGGATTAAAGAACCAAGAATACTTTAAGTCTGTTAACATTTATGTATACTCTCTAAAGCGTTATTATATAATTAACATATTGTTTCAAAAATAAACATTTAAAATCTTATGATATTTAAATGCAGATAACTTTTGCGCTAAGTTCCAAAACACTGCCGCAAACAGGCGATTTTTTGTTGTTGTTGTAAAATGATGATTAAAAAAAAATATTGAGGTAAACACCAAACTGTTGGAAGAAATACGGGATAAATTTGTATTGGCCAAGAAATATATCCGGACAAATAAGGATGAATTGAACACACCCTTCGCCAACCAAGAATACCGCCGTCTCTAGACAGGAATTAGACTGGCGTACCCAATACTGTATTTACCAAAACAGACATGGGCTGGGGAGGTGTGGTTGGGGTCTTATGATACATTGGGTGTTCACAGCAATGGTGATGATGAATAATTTAATAATGGTCTCTTAATATCAGATATATTTCCCGTGATATCAGAAATGTATACTTAACACATTTTTTTCTCTTTTAATATCATTGTCGAAATACACCATAACTATGTGTTGTTTTTTTTAAAAAGTAGAATTCAATTGTTTTTGTCATTATGAAACTTATAGTTTGAATGATGCTGCACTTCATTAAAAGTTTGTCGTCGTTTAAATCCCCTACTAATTGATACTGGCTTTTGTTACTGGCGCCCCCCCCCCTAAATGTTAATGACTGTTGCCGCCCGTTTTAAATGTTGCCGTCTGATGCCAACTCTCCTAAACGTTGCTGACTGTTGCCGCCCCTTCTAAATGTTGCCGACTTTTGTTGCCGCCCCTCTCACATCCTGCCCACTGTGCCGCTTCTTGAAGCTCCTCCAGCTTTTCAACTACGCCAAGTACAATATATTTAAAAACAGTGCTTCTTCCAGACTTTTTTCTTTGGGGGGGGGGGGGGGCTTAAATTTTCCGGGGGTGGGGGACACTGTTAAAAGTATGTATTTTCTAGTGGGGGGGGGTAACTTTTTGGCAGGACTTATCTGGATAAGAAACGACATTTTACTTACTTTAAAAGCACCTAAAAAAATTAATACTCTATGAATCTGTAAAAAAAAACTTTACTAAATAAAATAAAATATGAAAACTGCACTAGATCTAGATCTACCTAGGGTTTTTCTAATCCGTCTAGCGATCCACTTAATTTAAAACCAGCTTTCTTTGCTGCAACCCAAATGGGTTCACACAGTTTCAATCTGCGGAACTCCAGATTCCATGATTTCCGGAGCAGTCAACAGGTCAGCTGTCACCCAGTGTGTTAAATCATTGTGTCGTAGCCCCCCCCCCCCCACCCCCTCTCCCCAAATAAAAATGTCGACAAAGCCAACAACACATCTTACACGGAGTATGTAGTATCCGCGCTTCAGCATACTTAAGCAGATATGGTACATCAATGTAATCGCTTTGAAAAATGTGTGATGCCTACTGTTGCCACCTCTCCTAAATATTTCCAACTAATGCCACCTTTCCTAAATGTTGCTAACTGATGCCACCCTTCCTAAATGTTGCCAACTAATGCCACCCTTCCTAAATATTGCCAACTAATGCCACCCTTCATAAATGTTGCCAACTAATGCCACCTATCCTAAATGTTGCCAACTGATGCCACCCCTCCTAAATTTTGCCGTCTGTTGCCGCCCCATATAAATTTTGCCGTCTGTTGCCGCCCCATATAAATTTTGCCGTCTGTTGCCGCCCCATATAAATTTTGCCGTCTGTTGCCGCCCCATATAAATTTTGCCGACTGATGCAGCCCCTCCTATGGCTGCCAACTCATGTCGCCCCCCCCCCCCCTCTTTAAAGGTGCCGACAGATTCCCACCTGCCTTAAAACAGGACACTACAGATACCAAGTTATTACCTCTCTTATATTAATTAAACAAACGATCTTAAATTGATAAGTACGTTGTTGTTTAAGAAATGTTTAATAAACACCTGTGTTTATTTCGATTATAAAGATAATGTTGTATCTAATACATTTAAGATACACTTCTATTTACTGATATAGGGATATATATTTAATATAGTCTACGTTATTTAACACTATGTTTTTTATAAAAGCGTATACCAATTGCCCAATAAACAATTGTAAAAAAATATTCTATACAAAATATTTAAAAAGTCTTAAACGAATTATACAATAGAAAAATAAATTTTTAAAAATATATTTAAAATGCCTTAAAATGTACAAAAAAGGTTTTGTATAAAAAATGTACAAATCAGTTCTTAATATTTTCAATGGTATGAATTATTGGAAACTGTAGTTAAAGTCACATTTAATCAATTTATTAATTTCTTGAGCCATGAATAAAAAAATTATTTTTAATCTGGATGTAATAACTAATTTAAAAAGTGTGGCAAATCATGCTATTCTAACATGATTAGTTTAATCGCACTAAGTTAAACAAACAGTGAAATCAATAGGTCAACACGTAGCTACATCTGATGAAACCCGTAGTTGAATAAACAAAAAATAAATATAAAAAGGAAGATGATGTCTCAGCTATAAATTATTGTTTAAATATCTCCACATGTGTGAGATCCACAATAGTGCAACAAAATGTATAGCTAACCACAGCTAAATTGTAAAGCAAAAAGTGGGCTTGTTGCATCGGAATCTTTAATATTATATCAGTTGCCATCCCTCCTAAATGGTGCCGCCTACTGCTGCCGTTCCTAAATGGTACCGATTGTTGCCGCCCCTCCAAAATGTTGCCGTCTGTTGCTACCCCTCCTTAATAACTTTGTTGTTGACGAAATGTTTAATAAACAGCTGCTTTTGTCACGGCTATAAACATAATGTTGTTCTAATATCTTTAAGATACACTTCTATTTACTCATCAAAGTTTATATAATATGGTCTAAGTTATTTGTTTGAAAACATAGAACACTATTTTTTTTATAAAAGCGTAAACAGATTTCACAATATACTATTTTAAAGAAAATTTAAAATTAAATATTCTATACAAAATACATTAAAAGTCGTATATAAAATTATACAATAAAAATATTTATAATGCCTTAAAAATGTACATAACGAAAACTGTTGAATTAAAAACAAGGTAATTAAAAAGTCTGGTGACAATTTTAGCGCAATTTCCTTGTGTTATCTAAAAATAGCTCTGTCGTAGCGTAAATCAAGAGCAGGGTTAGTAAAACCATTGGTTAGTTATTAAAACGTTTTTATTAATTTTTTTCAGTATTTTACATGTTTTATTTACAATAGAGTTACATGACTAAAAACCATTGCGCGCCTACTGAACGTGATGGCGCAGCCATGGAACAAGATGGCGCAGCTATTGAACGTGATGACGCGTGTGGTGTGGTTGGATAAAAATGCCTACTAATTCGGTCCAAATTTTAATTAATTCAAAAAAAATTTTGTGACCAAACGAAAGGATATTTTTGAAAACTTTCTTCGGCAATATTGTTCTAAATTATGGCAGGAATCGATTGGTACATGTTTCAAGTCGCTAAGTGGTCTGGTTGCCGAGATATGGGCCAAAAACTGATTTTTTTCCGAGGTTTTTTGGCTTTTCCGGGAAATCCATGAAAGAAACCCGGAATTTTTATGGCCTATGTTCATCCTCGTAGCTTGCTTAACATAATTGCTTTGGAACTAGTCCTCGATATTGCTTCGTTGAGGAGGAGATACGACTTAAAGCTGCGGACACACATCCATTCATTCATACATACATCCAGAAATGACGAGTTAATAAACGCAATTCTCCAGAATGGAAATTGCGCTAAAAAATGTAAATACTTTCACCAGCTTATTGGATCTCAATATTTTGTTATTGAAATAAGGAACACATTGGCGGCTAAAAAATGTGCAACAAAATGTATAGCTAACCACATCCAAGGTAAAGCACATTGGGGATTTGTTGGATTGGATTAATTACAATTATATTAGTCAAATACTTTCCAATTCTAAAGCCATTTTTGAAAGTTATTAGAAGATGGCTCTTGTATTAGATAAGAAGAAATTTGAAAGAGAATTTCTTGCAAAGTTTCTAATGCCCGACTTAAAGCGTGCATTTTGTCAAGGGATAAGTTTAAACTTCGCCTGGTCCGACATCGAAAGTTGGCATAGAGCCATAAGGTATGGAGGTAGAAACCACAGGCGTCTGTTGTTCAAAAATTCACTTCATGCATAGTCTCAATTCAAAAGTCCACTTAATTAAATGACCTATTTCCATGCATTGTCTCAATTCAAAAGTCCACTTAATTAAATGACCTATTTCCATGCATTGTCTTATTCAAAAGTCCACTTAATTAAATGACTTATTTTCATGCATAGTCTCAATTCAAAAGTCCACTTAATTAAATGACTTATTATCCCTCATAAGTGGTCTTACATTTTCACAAAACACTCTTGAAATGCGTGCATGCGTCTACTAGTCTATTCTATTCTGTTCTATTCTATTCTACTTGATGTCCCTGTGTATTTTCCCTGTCATGATCTACTGTAGTGTATTTGCATTGAATTTCAGTTGGTTTGAAAACTTAGGGGATGAACGTTTCTACCTAACTTACTTTCTGACATCGTCTCTAATAAAACAGATATAATCTAAGTGTTACCCTCAGATTTTGCTACATCCATAGCAGTAAAATCTCTGCTGTTTCTATCATTAAGTATTCGCATACCTTCATACCTGTGTTTTAGTAGTTCAGTGTTAATTATCTATATATATAATTCTCTTCTGGGAGCCGTTAGAAAACAAGCTGCAAGCGCCTCCTTGCAGTCCCCTCTCTTTCTCTCTATCACTATCACTACCACCCCCACCCCACCCCCACATTGTCTGGTGAGCTGTGGTCACGCTGTTTACATTTTACAAACATAAAGACGGGTTTGGTGACGGCTATTAGGGGCAGATAATTTAGTTTGAAACATTTTAAACTTAGAGGAGGTAACTAAGAGGAGGCTGCTTTCACGAGGGGGGAGGTGGTTTAGTGTTTTTAAGCAAATCTTTTCAGTGGCAGCATTGGTACTGTCGAATTCACAAATTATAAATTACTTAAAAGTAAAAAAAAAAAAAAACTAAATAGCGGCGTATGATACGCAGCGGGTCGGCTCGTTGTTCATAAAATTACTTGGTAGCATCGTCTCTAATAACACAGATATAATCTTAGTGTTACCCTCAGATTCTGCTACATCCAAAGCAGTAAAACCTTTGCTATTTCTATCGTGAAGTAGTTGTCGACCTCCATACCTCATTAAAAGCCTACATACATCAATATGACCATTATTAACTGCATCAATTAACGGTGTAGTGCCTTCGTCATTTGACCGTGCTTGCAAGTCTATCCCAGGAGACTGCAGTAGTAGTTCAACACATTCATAGAAACCGTGGTTGCAAGCCTCGTGTAGTGGTGTCCAGCCGTTGTGATCTGTCACGTTGACATTAATGTTGGGCATAGCAAGCAGCTTTCTTAAAGTTTTCACATCGTTCTTTATACAGGTGGTATGAAGTATGGTCTCTCCTTTATGATTTCTTTTCTTTAGGTTGATTCTCTTCACTTTCATACCGGCATTTCTTGGCTGGTTATTAGACTTGCTAAGTTCATTTGTTGGCTGGATATTAGAAGTACCATGTAAAGGCGTACTTGGATACTCTATGTGCGGTTCTAACAAAACCCTCGCATTCAGAACGGCACTTCTATGATGGTTAGTAGAAGTGTTAGCTACATTTCTGGTATGGTTATTAGAAGTGTTAGGTTCATTTGTTGGCTGGACATTAGAAGTGTTAGCTACATTTCTTGTATGGTTATTAGAAGTGTTAGGTTCATTTCTTGTATGGTTATTAGAAGTGTTAGGTTCATTTCTTGTATGGTTATTAGAAGTGTTAGGTTCATTTCTTGTATGGTTATTAGAAGTGTTAGGTTCATTTGTTGGCTGGACATTAGAAGTACTATGTAAAGGCGTACTTGGATACTCTATGGGCGGTTCTAACAAACTTGAGACGATGGAATCTAATGACGCTGTATTCCCCGAGCTCTCATTGGATTGGTCGTTGGGATATTGCGATAACACAAGGGCCACAACTAAAGCTTTCAGCCAAACCACTTTAATACTATGTAGCACTGCGGCGATCAACTCATACTCACGATCTTTAAAAACAGAATTTATAATGTTAGCTAACTTATGAGCAAGACTGACAACGAAACCTGTATCAAACTTTCCGTGGTTGAGGTTATTTCTAAAAGCGTTAGACGTGAGACTTACTAAACGACAACGGGCATAAGACACACGGAGATTTGCTTCTGGATTGGAAGTTACAAGTTCCAGAATCTGTGACAGATGGCCTTCTAATTTGTAGTGGAATCTTAATTGGGGTCTGTCATGATGCCAATTTACGGTCAATAATCCCTGAATTTCATGATATTCGAAGCATGATTCGAAGTTTTTTTCAAACATCAATGCTAGAACTTCAAACACCCTAGCAGAAGTAGTCTTGTCTGAGCTTTTCATAGAAGATTTGAAAACATCATTAATATAAAAATTATCAGAGTTTAAATTAAAAGCTTCAAAATAAACTTGACACGATTCTTCATCCACTGGTGGATAATGTTTCAACCAAAATATCAAGTTTTTATGAGCTTGGAGTTGTATTTCAGCGTTACTACAGAATAATTGACCTAAGAGCTCTTTTAGAAATTGTGGTGATGGGTATTTGTGTGGTCTAAACGCGTCATTCAGCTCTGGGGTAACTGCTGTCTGATTGGTAAATGTATCTCTGTTCGTGACGTTTTCTTCAGAAGGCGATGAGGTGCCTCTAGCCATGCTAGTGGTAGGCATATCTATTTCCTGTTCTTGTTCACTTTCTGTCAGATATAAAACAATTTTTTTTTTATTTAAGTCATGATTAGTAGCGAAGGATGTCTTAGTAAAAATAACTTTAGTATTAACAATCAAATTAACAAACAAAATATTTATAATTTTTATGCAAACTCAAGAAGCAACAATGTTAAAAAATTATGCGACCAAGCTGGGAACTGGCCGGCCTAATCGGGAAATGGCTAAAACCACCTCACATCGACAGGCTAATTTATTTTTTCCGGAACTTTGCAAGGCAGTTAGCGAAATGGCATTCGTCAAATTAGTTTAGACTATCATAATGGAGGAAGATGAAGTCTACCGGTAGAATGCGCATAAGCTAACCAGAATGTTAAGAGTTCGGAACCCGTGCTCAAGGCTGTTAGGTCGTCCCCTTACCGAACATCCCCTCATGTCTAAACCAGCTGGTATTTTATAAACATTGGTGAGAGAAATGTGGTAACTCACGGGTCTAATTGGTAACATGGGTGAGAGAAATGTGGTAAACCACATTCTTCTTCTTCTTCGTTCTTAATTATTGGTGTTGAAGGGGATCGAGATTTATCTGCCAGTGGGTTTGAATTCGAGACTTTGTTCGATTTATAAACCATGAGCTTTCTGCCGACTCGACCACGCCTCCAACACAATTAAGCGTTACGTGTCAACTGGTTATGCGCCATTGAGGCCATTGACTCCGATTTCAGCCTGCTTTTTCTTTTTGGATTTGCTTCCATAGCCTTTGTCCAACCAAGAACAAACAACAAGGCAGCAGTTGTTTAATTTTGGAGTTGTCTCTCCTAGAAGAGTGGCTGTCCCCAGCTAACGAGCCTCATCTGCCCGAGGGTTCGAACTCGAGACTTTTCGGTTTAGCAACCATGAGCTTTACCGACTCGACCACGCCGACCCTCTACCCACGGGTCTAATTGGTAACATTGTTGAGAGAAATGTGGTAACCCACGGGTCTAACCGATAACATGGGTGAGAGAAATGTGGTTATCTACGGGTCTAGCAGCTGGTATTTTATAAACATTGGTGAGAGAAATGTGGTAACCCGCGGGTCTAACTGGTAACATGGGTGAGAGAAATGTGGTTATCTACGGGTCTAGCAGCTGGTATTTTTTTAAACATGGGTGAGAGAAATGTGGTAACACACTGCGATGCAAGTAAAAATGCACGGCATATGTTGTTGTTTACTTGTATGTTGTTTACTTGTATGTTTGTATGTTGCTAGATTCTATAACGATGACTGACTGACACACTACCGAGCCGTTAATATATATATATATATATATATATATATATATATATATATATATATATATATATATATATATATATCTATATATATAAAGCAAAGTGGTCGGGTGCCCGATAGGGCACTTCCCGGCGCCGCAGGCGCGTCAAATTTGGCACGAAGGTGCCTTATGGCGATAGAACACGAGGGCCGGTGACGGTTCGGCAAAAAGTCTACGGAGCGGGGGTCAAAACTGACCTCGACTGACCGGCGCCTTATATGGGCTATATTACGAAAAAAAAATTCCTCCGACGACCCCCCTTGATATTTTGTGAGGTGGTAGAAGAACACCTTGGGGTGTCACAAAAAACTCGCCATGTCCGGGAAAAATCGGGAAATGGGTCAAAACTGACCAGTTGTATTTCCCTATATAATCTTTGTATTTTATGGCGAAAACAGAGGGTCATTTCAAAACGGATTTTATGGCACTTACGCTCTTTACATCTGGCTCAGTTTTGGCATGCTTATAGGTAAATGGCTTGACCTTTAGGGAAATCTGTCGGTTACACTCAAAGCCCTCGACGAGGGCTAAAAAGTGACCGCGAGTGAAATTCTCTTTATATGAGCTCTATTACGAAAAAAAAATTCCTCCGACGACCCCCCTTGAAATTTTGTGAGGTGGTAGGAGAACGCCTTGGGGTGTCACAAAAAACTCGCCATGTCCGGGAAAAATCGGGAAATGGGTCAAAACTGACCAGTCGTATTTCCCTATATAATCTTTGTATTTTATGGGGAAAACAGAGGGTCATTTCAAAACGGATTTTATGGCACTTACTCTCTTTACATGTGGCTCAGTTTTGGCATGCTTATAGGTAAATGGCTTGACCTTTAGGGAAAACTGTCGGTTACACTCAAAGCCCTCGACGAGGGCTAAAAAGCGACCGCGAGTGAAATTCTCTTTATATGAGCTCTATTACGAAAAAAAAATTCCTCCGACGACCCCCCTTGATATTTTGTGAGGTGTTAGAAGAACACCTAGGGGTGTCACAAAAAACTCGGCATATCTGGGAAAACTTCGTAAAGCGGTCAAAACTGACCAGTTGTATTTCCCTATATAATCTTTGTATTTTATGGGAAAAACAGAGGGTCATTTCAACGCAGACTTTAGGGTACTTAAGCTCAGTATATCTGGCTAATTTTTTGCATGCTCCTAGGTCAATGGGTTGACCTTTAGGGAAAACTGTCGGTTACACTCAAAGCCCTCGACGAGGGCTAAAATGTGACCGCGAGTGAAATTCTCTTTATATGAGCTCTATTACGAAAAAAAATTTCCTCCTACGACCCCCCTTGATATTTTGTGAGGTGGTAGAAGAACACCTAGGGGTGTCACAAAAAACTCGGCATATCTGGGAAAACTTCGTAAAGCGGTCAAAACTGACCAGTTGTATTTCCCTATATAATCTTTGTATTTTATGGGAAAAACAGAGGGTCATTTCAACGCAGACTTTAGGGTACTTAAGCTCAGTATATCTGGCTAATTTTTTGCATGCTCCTAGGTCAATGGCTTGACCTTTAGGGAAAACTGTCGGTTTCACTCAAAGCCCTCGACGAGGGCTAAAAAGTGACCGCGAGTGAAATTCTCATTATATGAGCTCTATTACGAAAAAAAATTTCCTCCGACGACCCCCCTTGATATTTTGTGAGGTGGTAGAAGAACACCTAGGGGTGTCACAAAAAACTCGGCATATCTGGGAAAACTTCGTAAAGCGGTCAAAACTGACCAGTTGTATTTCCCTATATAATCTTTGTATTTTATGGGAAAAACAGAGGGTCATTTCAACGCAGACTTTAGGGTACTTAAGCTCAGTATATCTGGCTAATTTTTTGCATGCTCCTAGGTCAATGGGTTGACCTTTAGGGAAAACTGTCGGTTTCACTCAAAGCCCTCGACGAGGGCTAAAAAGTGACCGCGAGTGAAATTCTCATTATATGAGCTCTATTACGAAAAAAAATTTCCTCCGACGACCCCCCTTGATATTTTGTGAGGTGGTAGAAGAACACCTAGGGGTGTCACAAAAAACTCGGCATATCTGGGAAAACTTCGTAAAGCGGTCAAAACTGACCAGTTGTATTTCCCTATATAATCTTTGTATTTTATGGGAAAAACAGAGGGTCATTTCAACGCAGACTTTAGGGTACTTAAGCTCAGTATATCTGGCTAATTTTTTGCATGCTCCTAGGTCAATGGGTTGACCTTTAGGGAAAACTGTCGGTTTCACTCAAAGCCCTCGACGAGGGCTAAAAAGTGACAGCGAGTGAAATTCTCATTATATGAGCTCTATTACGAAAAAAAATTTCCTCCGACGACCCCCCTTGATATTTTGTGAGGTGGTAGAAGAACACCTAGGGGTGTCACAAAAAACTCGGCATATCTGGGAAAACTTCGTAAAGCGGTCAAAACTGACCAGTTGTATTTCCCTATATAATCTATGTATTTTATGGGAAAAACAGGGAAATTTTAACACAATTTTTAGGTTACTTAATGTCTGTACATCATGCTACGTTTTTGCATACACTACTAAAGATGACTAGGCCGTATGGAAAAACTGTTGGTCAGACTCAAAGCCCTCGACGAGGGCTAAAAGATGATCTTGAGTGAAATTCTCCTTATACGAGATATATATATATAAATAAATTGACGAACGATCCCCTTAATATTATGTGACGTCGTAGACCGACCATGGAGGGTAACAAAAAAACTTTATTCCCGTCATAAACAGCCATTATAGTCGTAAAATATGTTCATATAACGTAATTTCTTATATAAGCAAACAATATAAGTAAACAATGACATACGTCATACGTTCAGTTTTCAAGGGAGGTAACGTTTTTAAAATTATTTTTTTTCAAATAATTGTATACTATTTTAAACAGAAACAGAAAATGACGAAGTATAGCATTTGTTTTAGTACAAAATTAAGTTGTTAATTTAGTTAAGTAACCTAATTAAATAAATTAATTAATTTCAAAAGGCAGTGTAATATAAACTATGAGATATACTGTTCATGAAACCTGTGTAGTTCTAATTCCATTTTAGTTATACATTGCGTACTTTCCAGAAATTCTCCAGGACCTGAGTGTAAATGACGAACAAAAACATTATTTTCTAAAATTAGCATTACTGTTTAAATTAAACTTATTAAAGCACTCCACACCCAATCCATCGCTAAATAATTAAGTATTCAAATTCTCAAATGTTTTTTAAAAACCTAAGCGAAGCTAGGCAGTATGCCTAGTCTATATATATAAAGCAAAGTGGTCAGGTGCCCGATAGGGCACTTCCCGGCGCCGCAGGCGCGTCAAATTTGGCACGATGGTGCCTTGGGGCGATAGAACACGAGGGCCGGTGACGGTTTGCCGAAAAGTCTACGGAGAGGGGGTCAAAACTGACCTCGACTGACCGGCGCCTTATATGGGCTATATTACGAAAAAAAATTTCCTCCGATGACCCCCCTTGAAATTTTGTGTGGTGGTAGGAGAACGCCTTGGGATGTCCCAAAAAACTCGCCATGTCCGGGAAAATTCGTTAAATGGGTCAAAACTGACCAGTCGTATTTCCCTATATAATCTTTGTATTTTATGGGAAAAACAGAGGGTGATTTCAAAACGGATTTTAGGGCACTTACCGTCTTTACATCTGGCTAATTTTTTGCATGCTCTAAGGTAAATGGATTGACCTTTAGGGAAAACTGTCGGTTTCACTCAAAGCCCTCGACGAGGGCTAAAAAGTGACCGAGAGTGAAATTCTCTTCATATGAGCTCTATTACGACAAAAAATTTCCTCCGACGACCCCCCTTGAAATTTTGTGAGGTGGTAGGAGAACGCCTTGGGGTGTCCCAAAAAACTCGCCATGTCCGGGAAAATTCGTTAAATGGGTCAAAACTGACCAGTCGTATTTCCCTATATAATCTTTGTATTTTATGGGAAAAACAGAGGGTGATTTCAAAACGGATTTTAGGGCACTTACCGTCTTTACATCTGGCTAATTTTTTGCATGCTCTTAGGTAAATGGCTTGACCTTTAGGGAAAACTGTCGGTTTCACTCAAAGCCCTCGACGAGGGTTAAAAAGTGACCGCGAGTGAAATTCTCTTTATATGAGCTCTATTACGAAAAAAAATTTCCTCCGACGACCCCCCTTGAAATTTTGTGAGGTGGTAGGAGAACGCCTTGGGGTGTCCCAAAAAACTCGCCATGTCCGGGAAAATTCGTTAAATGGGTCAAAACTGACCAGTCGTATTTCCCTATATAATCTTTGTATTTTATGGGAAAAACAGAGGGTGATTTCAAAACGGATTTGAGGGCACTTACCGTCTTTACATCTGGCTAATTTTTTGCATGCTCTAAGGTAAATGGCTTGACCTTTAGGGAAAAGTGTCGGTTTCACTCAAAGCCCTCGACGAGGGCTAAAAAGTGACCGCGAGTGAAATTCTCTTTATATGAGCTCTATTACGAAAAAAAATTTCCTCCGACGACCCCCCTTGAAATTTTGTGAGGTGGTAGGAGAACGCCTTGGGGTGTCCCAAAAAACTCGCCATGTCCGGGAAAATTCGTTAAATGGGTCAAAACTGACCAGTCGTATTTCCCTATATAATCTTTGTATTTTATGGGAAAAACAGAGGGTGATTTCAAAACGGATTTTAGGGCACTTACCGTCTTTACATCTGGCTAATTTTTTGCATGCTCTTAGGTAAATGGCTTGCCCTTTAGGGAAAACTGTCGGTTTCACTCAAAGCCCTCGACGAGGGCTAAAAAGTGACCGAGAGTGAAATTCTCTTTATATGAGCTCTATTACGACAAAAAATTTCCTCCGACGACCCACCTTGAAATTTTGTGAGGTGGTAGGAGAACGCCTTGGGGTGTCCCAAAAAACTCGCCATGTCCGGGAAAATTCGTTAAATGGGTCAAAACTGACCAGTCGTATTTCCCTATATAATCTTTGTATTTTATGGGAAAAACAGAGGGTGATTTCAAAACGGATTTTAGGGCACTTACCGTCTTTACATCTGGCTAATTTTTTGCATGCTCTAAGGTAAATGGCTTGACCTTTAGGGAAAACTGTCGGTTTCACTCAAAGCCCTCGACAAGGGCTAAAAAGTGACCGCGAGTGAAATTCTCTTTATATGAGCTATATTACGAAAAAAAATTTCCTCCGACGACCCCCCTTGAAATTTTGTGAGGTGGTAGGAGAATGCCTGGGGGTGTCACAAAAAGCTCGCCATGTCTGGGGAAAATCGGGAAATGGGTCAAAACTTACAAGTTGTATTTCCCTATATAAACTTTGTATTTTATGGGGAAAACAGGGTAATATCTACACAAATTTTAGGGTACTTACTCTTTGCATAACTGGCTAATTTTTTGCATACACCTCTATAGATGACTGGGCCGTATGGAAAAACTGTTGGTCAGCATCAAAGCCCTCGAAGAGGGCTAAAAATGAATGCGAGTGAAATTCTCATTATACGAGATTTGGTCATTTTGTTTATGAACAGGGGAGGTAACTTTTTAATTTAACAATTTTTTTTTATATTTTGTATACTCTTTTTAAGAAAAAACAAAAATCATAATGTGCAGCATTGTTTTTAACGAATATTTTGTTATAAATTAAGTTTTGTATTGTATTGAAATTGTAAAATTAATTGCAAAAGTAATTTAATATAATATTTGATTGATAATTTTTATGAAAGCCCTTTCAGCTCTAATAACCTTGCGAGTAATAAGTTTGCGAATATTCCATCAATTTATGGGTACAATAAAAGTACCACACTGAATAAATTTAGGCCCTAAGATTTTAACATAACAGCCAATCACCTATTAATTAATCATTCAATTTCTCAACTTTTTTGAAAACCTAAGCGAAGCTAGGCAGTATGCCTAGTATACATATATATGGATATTTTATATACCACAACATGTAATCTAAGTTTCTTTTAGGCACGTCCACCCTCACCCACCCTCACCCCAGCCTGAATTAAATAAACAAATACATTAAAAATATATACTTCAATAAGTGTCCGCCCTCTACTTTCCGGAAATTTAAATCCGTCCCCTACCCCCTCACCGAAATTTCCAAGTGCTCTCGCCACGGAAAAAATGTCTGCAAGAAACATTGACAGAAATCATGTCCCCGTCTCTGTTATAAAGTAAAAGCAGGCTCAATGAGAGAAAGAAATTGGAACCGCTGAAAGCGGGTCAGGTGGAAAGGTGTGTAAGCTACTGATCAGTAACAAGTAAAATAGTGCATTTTGTCGATTAGCTTTATCACTGCAGTCATTAAGCCATTGTCGAAAGATAACAGCTTTACATATCAACGTTACCCCATATCATACATCTACATAACTATTACAATGAACATTTGGCTACCACAAACCAGCGTATGTGGGTAGGGTTTATCATGGGGAAAAATGTAAGTTATATCATCGAGCGAAAATGGGTCAATGTCAAACACCCGAAGTGTGTTATAGCCTACACACGAACCATGACAAGTAAATGGCAGAGGCTTCACAAAGCCAAGTTCTACGACGCTTAGTCACGTAACATAGTGCAAGGAAATAAAAAAGTTAATACAGTGTTGGCCTATACGCTGACTTAATTGGACGACCTCTTGTGTCCTTAGTCAACATGAAAGGTTCGCGATTAAATACTTTTTTACAAACATAACTGTTTGTAACATTCCGAGACTAAAATCATCTCTTTGACAAATTTAAATGGTCTCTTGGGTTCATCTGTAAATGAAGTTTCAATTTTTATCACCACACCCTTAACCATCGTCACACAAAGCCAGATCACTAAAATGACGTTACAACTCATCCACCCTAGAGTTTCTTCCAGGCATCTCTTCGGTAGGGAGCCCTCCCCCCCACCCCTCCCCGAAGAAAGTCTACCGCCCCCCCCCCCCCCTCCGAACGAAATGGAATTTATATAGGAAATATATACTGTTAACAGTTTCCGCCCCTCCCATCCTACAATCCCCTCAAAGTTGCAATTTTTTTTAACATCAACTTATTTCTAAAATATTTTCTTAGCTCGGTCAAAATGGAGTATATTACTCAATTTCTATTACGATTGACAAAAAAAAACAGCTTTTTAAAAACGCAAAATAACAGTTAAAATTCAGTTTCTAACAGCACTGTTTGAAATACAAAAGTATGTCCGCCACCCTTACTGGACCCTTTCCATTCGTGCCAAAACTCCCGACCCCTCCCCTTGTGAGTGTGACGTCTTTTATGTAGGACCCCACTAGACAATACCAACTTCCGTGTTAAGAGTAACCAACTCAATAAATACAACTTACCTGTTGGAGGTGGTAAAGGTAGATGATGTACCGTAAAACCGTTGGTCTTTTTTAATGCTTTTCTTTTTCTTTCGTATTTAATACGTTTGAAATTTTTGGGCGAGTCAGAATCTGCAATTCGTCTTGAACTTGATTTACGACGTGCGGTTCTAGTAGATTTAGATGTGGATGGAATATCCGATCTGCAATCGGCATATGGGATATTGGGAGTATTTGGTACACTTCTTTCTGAAAGTGACGGAGTTCCATGTAGGAAAATACTTGGTTGAAGAACAAAGCTGGTGGTGTTAGACTCAGCACTAAAATCTGATGCTGGTGTGTTGCGCTCATCCTCTGACATGATCGACAGTTGATATGGAGTTATCCACTCGTGTAAACTTTTTTATGTTTATTTTGTCATAATATTTGCTGTCAGCAGTAGTCCGAGTTTGAAAATATTTTTTTAAATTTCAATGTAGAACCACATTTTAAAAATGTTCTTTAATTTTCCAGAGGATTATCTCACCTAAGTGAGGGAAAACAAATCTTATAAATAGGTATTTTAATTTTATGTTAACCTAATATTATGTTTCTAAAAGTTAACCCTTTATTTACGGAATTAGGTTCTGAATGAATTTTTTCTTAAACAATGAGTTATCATATTGCTTTTGGCACACTTAAAGCACATGTCGAAGAAAATTTTATTTCATAAATGTTTAATGGTCCAAACATATATTGGTACTTATAAGTACCGTCAGGAATTTAGGACATTTTTCCAAAAAATAAAAAAATTACAAAACAGGAACAAACGATACAATTTATTTATTAATAATATGATCAAGTCAGGCCTATTCATTCAGTACACTACTTCTAGTATAATTGTAGCCTACTAGAATGTTATGACAAGTTTACATTACAGTGCAAAGTTCATAAATTGAAGTGAGCTCAACGTGTTTAGGATAGCCGTAGTGGCCTACTGTTTTATATTTACTGATTAAAATTTACCATAAAGATCTATATTTTATGCAGAAGCATGGACAGCAATACATTACGTACATGCTAGTTATTGTAGACAAGACCGTTTTTGCAGTAAATATTACTAACAAATCTTACTACTAGAACTAAACTTTAGTATACAAATAAAGTATACTAAACCTAGTAAACGAGCCTGCAACTGCTACATTTATTCTTTTTATTCTTTTTCTACTAAAAATCTGCATTCTTTTACAATTTTTCTGAGGTAAACCATAAACAAACCTTCTTATAAATGTATAAATACCATTTTTTGAGTACATTTCGATAATTAATTATCAAAATAATATTTATGTCACTCAACATCGAAAATCTGCCATTTCCAAGAAATCCTAAAACAAATGACTGTGGTGCCCTGACGGTACTCACAAGTCCTCTTGTAAACAACGATCTAATAAAAAGACAATAGGATTAAAATTGTATAACTAGAAGTTAAACACATTTACCTGACTATTGAAAATGCCAATAAAAATATTTGGGGTTGAAAACTTGAAGAATAAGGTAAAACAAAGAGAAATCAGAAACACGTGTGAGATGTGTACAGAACGATTGTGAACTATCGATACAGCAAGAGATTGAAAATGGCGCCACACCAGAAATTTAAAAAAAAATATCGTTCCCTCCACCTAGCAGTGACTCAAGGGGAAATGATACTATTAATTACATCAATAATTTTAAAAATTCGTCTTACATTAAAAATAATACAGGCGCTTAATTTAAGTGGTACTTATAAGTACCGTCAGTAGATAAAGGTTTAAATCAATAAAAGCAGAAACGTTAACTAACATAAACACACAGAAAAAAATGGCCAGTGGAAAACGACGTAGTGTCGTCTGATGAGGCTAGACCCGTATCGTTAAAATGTACAGGCGACTAGATTTTACAAACACCTAAGATTAATTGACCATCATATCTTAGAGAGTATACCAAACAAAAACATACAAACACACCCATGTTTAAACACTTCTCTGTGGTAGTCCTATAGCAACATAGATGTTGTACCTGCCGTGATAGGCGGGCGTTTTTACCCTAGGTGTAGGACTACACTAGCTAAGGACAGGTCACATCACAAATGTCGATCGCAAAACAACTAAATCATTATTTTGTTATCTTTTCAAATGACGTAGAGAATAACTTACGGTTAACCAATATGCTATATTATAACAAATTGTACTAACACGTTGTGCACTTGAGACTTATTTCTAAAACAAAATGCACGAATTTAGGTTTAATTCTATGCAGTGACAAATATAAACGGAAATGCCATTTGAAACTGAAACTAAAACATTCTCAAGAAACTAGCAAGAAAAAAAATCGTTTTTTAATACCATAAATAGGCAATGGTTATCAAGTTTTAAAGTTGATATAGAGGCGTAGCGATTGGGGGCGGGGGTGTTACATGTGTCCCCGGGCGCCGACCGTAGGGGGCGCCAAAATGTGTTTAAAAAAAATTAAAAGCTCATTTCGGCTGCAGTTTTGCATTATAAATATAAAAAATATATGGGGTTGGGGGCGCCAAATTGAAAGTTTGTTCTCGGGGGTGGGGGTGGGCAAATTTTGACGTTTTACATCTTTCCAGAAAGGAAAAACTTGGTTTTGTAATTTTGTCCCTATGTGTCTGTGTGTCTGTGAACACGATACATTGAGTGTCGTTTCAGTTGATTAGACTCAATTTCATAAACAAGTATTATATCAAATGTGTAGTTCTGTATAAACTTTTGTGCGATTTTCATTAATCAAAAGTGGTACTTTTTCGACAAGTATTGCACAGGTTTCTTTCAACCCTTGAACGATTTTCGGTAACCGGAAGTGGAACTTTATTTCCATGTGAACACGGAAACTTGAGTACTGTTTCAGATATGTAGATGAAATTTCATATATTCTTTGATTACTTTCAACTTTTGAGTGACCTCCAATAACCGGGAGTTGTACTTGACGCTATTACTGGTTTCTAAAATACCGATAACTTTAGTACTGCTTTAGTTCATCGAATTTTAATCATTGGTATAAAATCCTATTTTCTTGATTCTGTCAAAATTCGAGTGATTTGTTGCGAACGGATGTAGTACTTTACTAACAAACAAAAAAAACAAAACAAAAAAACGGTCACTTATACCGGACCGATTGCATTCAAACTCGATAACAATGCATTGCGACATAAAATGTTACTTAATTAGATGTTTCATTAACTTTTTAGAAATTAATATGTTTCCTTTATAATGTACTAATTTTCCGCACTATTATACGCACATTGATTGCGTTCATATGGTGCGCAATTCTTTTTTAAGAATTAAAAAATTAAGAAGAAACATTTTATGGCCCGATTGTACTGGAAGTGCCATCCAACTTTATTGTTATATAAAAATATATTATACGAGAAAAATGGCCCGTTGAGGAAGGATACACCGGGCGCTAGGTTGATAGTGCTGTCTCTTTTCTCTAAACTAAAACCAACCCACCCCCCCCCACACACCACCCCCCACCCCCCCCCCCCCCAAAACACACCACCCCCCCCCCCACCCCCACCCCCACCCCCCACCCCGGGGGCGGGGGTAGAATTTTCGGGGAGGGGGCGGACACTGGAAAAAGTATATAATTATATTTCGTTGAATGGGACGGTAGACATGTTTTTTGGGGGGTGGGGGGTGGGGGGTGGGGGGGGGGGGGGGGTTGGGGGTGGGGTGGTTTTAGTTTAGAGAAAAGAGACAGCACTATCAGCCTAGCGCCCGTTGTATCCTTCCTCAACGGGCCATTTTTCTCGTATAAGTAAAAAAGTTGTAACATCAGTCTTCAAAACGACACGATTCCCGCTACATTTTTTTTCAATCCACATGTCTGATTAAATTTGTTCGAGGTTTGTATGAGTGTGTGGGTTGGGGCAGGGGGAAGGGTGCAACGCCAAACATTTATATAGAAATGTTGTGGCCCATAGAGATGATACGTAACATTACTTAAAGAGGTAGGATGTAACATTAATCCCATCCTGTTAATTACCCAGGTCATTTTACCAATTTCAATTACCCCCACCTCAGCAACTGCAGTAGGGCATTACGTATCGGTTAGGCTAACGTTGACGGTAACGTTAATGGTAAGGATAGAATGTGATAGAAATGGGGTGAAGCTTTAAGAGAAGCATATGTTTTGTGTTAGGAACAGCGTTAGGAATTATGAGATGGTTATGGAAAAAGATAGGTATAGGTATTGCCTTTTCATGCATTCTAAAGTGGGATAATTATCTGAACAGGTAAATGATGGGAGGTAATTGATCTGGGGACTAATGACCGGGAGGGGTTAGAAATCGGTACGTCCTAGACCCAGATAAAGCACGTCACATTTCGGTTAAAATTTAGGTTTAATTTTAATCATATGCTTATTTATGACACTAGATAAATGGCCCGTTGAGGGAGAAATACAACGGCATTGGGTTGATTTTGTTGTCTTTTTCTCTAAACCGAAACCAAAATCACCACTACATCTTAAAATTTAACTGGGAACGACAAATGTAATTGAAAACGGATTTTTATCCAGAATCGGCATTTTAACCGGATTTAACCTTGATGACCACGTAGTTACTGCACATTCATACTAAATATAGTCGTAGTCATACCCCTTAACCTTGCAGCTAAGCTCAAACTTGACGAAAGTTGTATTCAGAGTTTCTTTCAGGCAACTATTCTGGGGAGGGGGTTGTTTGAGAACATATAACACTATTATTTTTATAAAAGCGTTAACTAATTTCTCAATATACTATTTTTAAAGAAAATTTAAAATTAAATATTCTATAGAAAATACATAAAAAGTCTTACACAAAATTATACAATAGAAAAAAATATGTATAATGCCTTAAAAATGTATACATAAAAAAACTGTTGTATACAAAAATATAAAAAGTAATTGCACAAGCTTGTTCAATCTTGATATTATGAGATTGAAATTAAAAAAAAAACATTGGCGGCTAAAAAAAGTTTAGCCATTTCTATTCTACTTTAAAAAATGGTGCGAGATCGAACAATAGTACAACAAAATGAACAGCTAACCGCAGCCAATGTAGAGCACTATGAGGGTTTGTTGGATTGGGTTATTTACAATTATATCAATCAAATACTTTCCAACTTGTAGGCCATTTTTTAAAGTTATTAGAGGATGGCTCTTGTATTAGATAAGAAGAAATTTAAAAGAATATTTGCTTGTAAAGTTTCTAATGCCCGACTTAAGAGCGGGCCTTTTGTCAGGGATAAGTTTAAACCTCGCTCTAGTCTGATATCAGAAGTTACCAAAGAGTTAATAGGTAATAGAAGCAGAAACCACTCAATTGCAGAGTTTCTTCCAGGCATCTCTTCTGGGGAGGTGAAGCCCCCCCGAAAAAATTTTACCTCCCCCCCCCCCACCCCCCGAACGAAATGAAATTTATATAATTTATATAGAAAATATATATTTTTAACAGTGTCCGCCCCCCCCCCCCCGAAGAAAGTTTACCGCCCCCCGCCCCCCCCCCCCCGGAGAAAAAAGTCTGGAAGAAACACTGCTCAATCGAAAAGTTGACTTAATTAAATGACTTATTTCCTTGCATTGTTTCAATTCAAAAGTCCGCTTAATTAAATGACTTATTTCCTTGCATTGTTTCAATTCAAAAGTCCACTTAATTAAATGACTTATTTCCATGCATTGTCTCAAAGACAATGAAACATTAATACATTGGTCGTTCAATAGGTTAATCATTCCTCATAAGTGGTCTTCATTTCACAAGGCACTCTTGAAATGCGTCTATGCGTCTACTGGTATAATAGTTTCTAACACAGGAAGTCTATTCTACTCATGTGCTTGATGTCCATATGTATTTTCCCTTTCATGATCTACTGTAGTTTGTTTGCGTATGAATTTCAGTTGGTTTGAAAATTAAGGGGATGGACGTTTCTACATACCACCATTTTATGAGCAGTGGTGTCATATTAGTTAGTGTACTTTACTTTTATATGACTTTCAAATCATTTGTTGTCACCATTAGGGTCAGTAATTACAGAAGCATGTGTCAATATTTTATAAGCCAGTTTTTACAGCAATTATTTCTATTGGAAGATAGAGAAAATGTGTACACATGAAACCCATTAGAATATTCCTCTGAGTGCCGCTTAGTGTGTTTGGTACAAACTAACAACACTATTTTTAGATGTCTACTTCAGTGATAAGTAAACGAAGATAATGTAAGGAGCTCACTTTTGCTCATTGTTTGTTTTCTTGTTTTCTTCCCAATTTTTAAATTGCGTTTTGGTTTTCATTGTTTATGGAACTAAGAATTTTGGTTTAGTTGTTTCTAAGTTGGCTTTCAAAATTTCATATTCGGAAGGGGTTGTTATTTTTTTCAAGTGTTTTTCAAGTAGTTCAAAAATCTTGATAAGAATGTTGTCTTCAAAATAACTTGATAAAACAGATACAATCTCAGTGTTGCTTTCAGATAGTGCTATATCCAAAGCAGTGAAACCTCTGCTATTTCTATCCTCAAGTAGTTGTCGACCTCCATACCTCATTAAAAGCCTACATACATCAATATGTCCATTATTAACTGCATCAATTAACGGTGTAATGCCTTCATTTGACAGTGCATGTATGTCTATCCCAGGAGACTGCAGTAGTAGTTCAACACATTCATAGAAACCGTGGTTGCAAGCCTCGTGTAGTGGTGTCCAGCCGTTGTGATCTGTCACGTTGACATTAATGTTGGGCATAGCAAGCAGCTGTCTTAAAGTTTCCACATCGTTCTTTATACAGGTGGTATGAAGTATGGTCTCTCCTTTGTGATTTCTTTTCATTAGGTTAAGACCCCTCGCATTCAGACCGGCACTTCTTGGCTGGTTATTAGAGGTACTAGGTTCATTTCTTGGGAGGTTATTAGAAGTGCTAGGTTCATTTATTGGGAGGTTATTAGAAGCACTAAGTACACGTGTTGGCTGGACATTAGAAGTACTATGTAAAGGCGTACTTGGATAGTCTATGGGGGGTTTTAAGAGACTTGCGACGATTGAGTCTAGTGATGTCGTATCCCAAAATCTCTCATCGGATTGGTCGTTGTGATGTGACAATAACACAAGGGCCACAACCAAAGCTTTCAGCCAAACCACTTTAACACTATGTAGCACTGAGGCGATCAACTCATACTCAAGGTTTTTAAAAAGAGAATTTATAATACTAGCTAACTCTTGAGCAAGACTAAAAATGTAATCGGCATCGTACATGCCCTCGTTGATGTTACTTCCTAAATCACCAGACGTCAGAATTATTATACGACAACGGGCATATGACACACGTAGGTAGGGTAGATTGGTCTCTAGATTGGAAGCTACAATATCCAGAATCTGTGACAGATGACCTGATAATATGTAGTGGAAATTAAATTGAGGTCTGTCATGGTGCCGATTTACGATCATATATCCTGGAATTTCATGATATTCGAAGCATGATTCGAAGTTTTTTTCAAACATGAATGCTAGAAATTCAAACACCATAGCAGCAATAGAACTGTCTGAGCTTTCCATAGAAGATTTGAAAACATCATTAATATAAAAATCATCAGAGTTTAAATTAAAAGCTTCAGAATAAACTTGACACGACTCTTCATCCACTGGTGGATAATGTTCCAACCAAAAAATCAAATTTTTATGAGCCTGGAGTTGTATTTCAGCGTTACTACAGAATAATTGACCTAAGAGCTCTTTTAGGAATTGTGGTGTTGGGTTTTTGTATGGTCTAAATGCGTCGTTCAGCTCTGTGGTAACAGCTGTCTGATTGGTAAATGTATCTCTGTTCATGGCGTTTTCTTCAGAAGGTGAGGTGCCTCTAACCATGCTAGTGGTAGGCATAGCTATTTCCGGTTCTTGTTCACTTTCTGTCAGATATAAAACAATTTGTTTTTATTTAAGTCATGATTAGTAGCGAAGGATGTCTGAATAAAAAAACTTTAGTATTAACAATCAACTTAACAAAAAAAAAATATTTATATTTTTTATGCAAACTCAAGGGACTAGGATGTTAAAAATATGCGACCAAGTGGGAACTGGCCGGCCTAATCGGGAAATGGCTAAAACCACCTCATATTGACAGGTTAATTTATCTTTTCCGGAACTTTGCCAGCCAGTTAGCGAAATGGCATTCGGGCATATCGTTAAGATAGTCAAATAAGACCTTTATTAAATATACTAAATTACAAAATCAGTCGAATTAGCAAAACTATGTTTTTCCGACACTTTGAGGTGTAACGTCGAGATTCTGTATTTTTTTCCTTTTGCACGATTACAATACTTCCTCTATACTTTGGGAACAGGGCATTTCCCCCCTGTCAATTACCCCCCGGACATTTCCCCCCCGACATTACCCCCCATAGTAATTACCCCCCCCCCCTGTCAATTACCCCCCCTGTCAATTACCCCCCGCCCAGTAGGACATTACCCCCCCCCCCCCCCGGACAGGGTTAGGGTTAGGGTTAGGGTTAGGGCTAGGATTAGGGCTAGGGTTAAGGTTAGGGTTAGAGTTAAGGTTAGGGTTAGGTTTTAGGGCTAGGGTTAGGGTTAGGGTTAGGGTTAGGGTTAGGGCTAGGTTTAGGTTTAGGGTTAAGATTAGGGTTCGGGCTAGGTTTAGGTTTAGGTTTAGGTTTAGGTTTAGGGTTAGGGTTAGGGCTAGGGCTAGGGCTAGGGTTAGGGCTAGGGTTAGGGTTAGGTTTTTGGGGCTAGGGCTAGGGTTAGGGTTAGGGTTAAGATTAGGGTTAGGGCTAGATTTAGGTTTAGGTTTAGGGTTAGGGTTAGTGTTAGGGCTAGGGCTAGGGCTAGGGTTAGGGTTAGGGCTAGGGTTAGAGTTAGGTTTTTGGGGCTAGGGCTAGGGTTAGGGTTAGGGTTAAGATTAGGGTTAGGGCTAGGGTTGTGTCTAGCGTTGGTTTTGGTTTTGTGTGAAGTTTTAGGCTAAGGTGGATGCTTAGGTTTTGGTGTTTTTCTTAAGGTTTGGATTAAAGTAGTATATAGGTATATAATTCTAGTTAGAGTTAGGATTCTAACTTGAGAGGGGGGGGGGGGGTAATTCCCCGGGGGGGGGGGGGGGGGGGGGGTAATTGACAGGGGGGTAATTGACAGGGGGGTAATTGCTCCGGGGGGTAATTACGGGGGGGAAATGTCAGGGGGGGAATTTTCCAGGGGGGTAATGTCCTGTAGCCCTATACTATATATATATATATATCAAATGTCCATATATATAAATATATAGATATGGACATTTGATATAACATATATTTGATATATAATCTGAGTTTCTTTTAGGCACATCCACCCTCCCGCTCCTCCCCTCCTCACCCCACCGTAAATTAAATAGACAAAGTCATTATTTATATAGAAAAAAATATAATCTAATAATTTAATAAGTGTCCGCCCACCCCCACCACCCTTGCGAAAATTTATGTCCGCCCCCCTCCCCTCACCGAAATATTTAAGTGCCCCCGCCACGGAAAAAAAGGTCTGCAAGAAACATTGACAGAAATTATGTCCCCCGTCTCTGTTAATAAGTAAAAGCAGGCTCAATGAAAGAAAGAAATTGGAACCGCTGAAAGCGGGTCGGGTGGGAATGTGTCTAAGCTACTGATCAGTAACAAATAAAATAGAGCATTTGTCGATTAGCTTGATCACTGCAGTCATTAAGCCATTGTCGCCAGATAACAGCTTTACTAATCAACGTTAGCCCATATCATACATCTACACAGTGGCGTAGCGAGGGCGGGTGTCACCCGGTGCTGCACTTAATGGTGTCACCCCCCAGAGGCGTAGCGGCCCTTCCCGGCGCCCGGGGATAAACTTTCAATTTTCGATTTGCACCCCCCCCTCAAACTTTCGATTTGCACCCCTTTCAAACTTTCGATTTACTCCCACCGCCTCCACCCTTGTCGGGATTTGTCAAATTTGCTCTTAAAAGACTATTTAACTCGAATTAATCACTTAATTAAGTGGAATTATCATTTTTCTCTATATATTTTGATCTTTTTTTGCCTTGGTGTCACCCCCCCTAAATGGTGTCTTCTGGTGTTGTCCGCACCCCCCCCCCCTTCGCTATGCCAATGCATCTACATAACGATTACAACTAAAATTTGGCAACCACAAACCAGCGTATGTGGGTAGGGTTTATCATATCAAGCGAAAGTGGGTCAGTGTCAACACCCGAAGTGTGTTAAAGCCTACACACGAACCATTACAAGTAAATGGACGACCTCTTGTGTCCTTAGTCAACATAAAAGGTTCACGAGTAAATACTATTTTACAAACAGGTTCGCGAATTTAGACAAGATAATAACTGTTTGTTACATTATGAGACTAAAATAATATCTTTAACAAATTTAAATGGTCTTTTGGGTGTCATCAATAAATGAACTCGCTATTTTTATCACCCCCCCCCCCACCTTACCATCGTCACACAATGCCAGATCACTAAAATGACGTCACACCTCATACATCTTATAACCCCCTCAAAATTGCAGTTTTGTTGTGTTTTTTTGTTTTTGTTTTTTGTTTTTTTAACATCGACTACGCTCGTTCAAAATGGAGTATATTATTCAATTTATACTACAATTTACAAAAACAGCTTTTAAAAAATGCAAAATAACGGCTAAAATTCAGTTTCTAACATCACTTATTGAAATGCAAAAGTATGTCCGCCACTCTTTCGAGACCCCTCCCATTCGTCACATAATTCCAAACCCCTCGCCTTGTGAGTGTGACGTCTTTTATGTAGGACCCCACTAGACAATACCCATTTCCGTGTTAAGGGTAACCGATCCAAGAAATATAACTTACCTGTGGGAGGTGGTGAAGGCAGATGCTGTACCGTAAAGCCGTTGGAAGTACTAGGTGCACTTCTTGGCTGGACATTGGAAGTACTAGGTGCACTTCTTGGCTGGACATTGGAAGTACTAGGTGCACTTCTTGGCTGGACATTGGAAGTACTAGGTGCACTTCTTGGCTGGACATTGGAAGTACTAGGTGCACTTCTTAGCTGGAAATTGGAAGTACTAGGTGCACTTCTTGGCTGGACATTGGAAGTACTAGGTGCACTTCTTGGCTGGGCATTGGAAGTACTAGGTGCACTACTTGGTGAAACTGACGTAGAATTATGTAGAAAAATACTTGGTGGGAGAACAAATCTAGTGCTGGAAGCGTAAAACCCATCTCTAGAACCTGGTGCTGGTGTGTTGCGCTCATCCTCTGACATGATTGACAGTTGATATGGAGTTATCCCTTCGTGTAAACTTTTGTTTATGTTTATTTTGTATTAGCAGTCGTAATATTTGCTGTCGGCAGTATTGTTTTTTAACTTTCCAGGTCGAACCATATTATAAAATGCCTGTATTTTCCACAGGGTTATCTCACCTAAGTGCGGGAAAACAAATCTTGTAAATGGATATTTTAATTTTATGTTAACTTAATAATATGTTTTTAAAAGTTACGTTAAAGCAATACAAGCAGAAACGTTAACTAACATAAACACACAGAAATAATGGCCAGTGGAAAACGACGTAGTGTCGTCTGATGAGGCTAGACCCGTATCGTTAAATGTACAGGCGACTAGATTTTACCTAAGATTAATAGACCATCATATCTTAGAGATAATTATAATACTACGCAAAAACATACAAACACACCCATTTTTATACACGCTTCTATAGTGGGCCTTTAGCAACACCGATTTAGTACCTGCCGCGATAGGCGGGCGTTTTTACCCTAGGTGTAGGACTACACTAGCTAAGGACAGTTCACATCACAAATGTTGTCGATCGTAAAACAACTAAAGCATTACTTTGTTATCGTTTCAAATGACGTAGAGAATCACTTACGGTTTATCAATATGCTTTAACAAATTGTACTAACACGTTTTGCACCTGAGACTTATTTTTAAAACAACATGCACGAATTTTGGTTTAACTCTATGAAGTAACAAATATAAACGGAAATGCCATTTGAAACTGAAACTAACACATTTCCGAGAAACAAGCAAGAAAAAAAATCGCTAAATCAGTATATCTGGCTAATTTTTTGCATGCTCCTAGGTCAATGGCTTGACCTTTAGGGAAAACTGTCGGTTTGACTCAAAGCCCTCGACGAGGGCTAAAAAGTGACCGCGAGTGAAATTCTCTTTATATGAGCTCTATTACTAAAAAAAATTTCCTCCGACGACCCCCCTCGATATTTTGTGAGGTGGTAGAAGAACACCTAGGGGTGTCATAATAAACTCGGCATATCTGGGAAAACTTCGTAAAGCGGTCAAAACTGACCAGTTGTATTTCCCTATATAATCTTTGTATTTTATGGGAAAAACGGAGGGTCATTTCATCGCAGACTTTAGGGTACTTAAGCTCAGTATATCTGGCTAATTTTTTGCATGCTCCTAGGTCAATGGCTTGACCTTTAGGGAAAACTGTCGGTTTGACTCAAAGCCCTCGACGAGGGCTAAAAAGTGACCGCGAGTGAAATTCTCTTTATATGAGCTCTATTACGAAAAAAAATTTCCTCCGACGACCCCCCTTGATATTTTGTGAGGTGGTAGAAGAACACCTAGGGGTGTCATAAAAAACTCGGCATATCTGGGAAAACTTCGTAAAGCGGTCAAAACTGACCAGTTGTATTTCCCTATATAATCTTTGTATTTTATGGGAAAACAGAGGGTCATTTCAACGCAGACTTTAGGGTACTTAAGCTCAGAATATCTGGCTAATTTTTTGCATGCTCCTAGGTCAATGGCTTGACCTTTAGGGAAAACTGTCGGTTACACTCAAAACCCTCGACGAGGGCTAAAAAGTGACCGCGAGTGAAATTCTCTTTATATGAGCTCTATTACGAAAAAAAATTTCCTCCGACGACCCCCCTCGATATTTTGTGAGGTGGTAGAAGAACACCTAGGGGTGTCATAAAAAAACTCGGCATATCTGGGAAAACTTCGTAAAGTGGTCAAAACTGACCAGTTGTATTTCCCTATATAATCTTTGTATTTTATGGGAAAAACAGAGGGTCATTTCAACGCAGACTTTAGGGTACTTAAGCTCGGAATATCTGGCTAATTTTTTGCATGCTCCTAGGTCAATGGATTGACCTTTAGGGAAAACTGTCGGTTACACTCAAAGCCCTCGACGAGGGCTAAAAAGTGACCGCGAGTGAAATTCTCTTTATATGAGCTCTATTACGAAAAAAAATTTCCTCCGACGACCCCCCCTTGATATTTTGTGAGGTGGTAGAAGAACACCTAGGGGTGTCATAAAAAACTCGGCATATCTGGGAAAACTTCGTAAAGCGGTCAAAACTGACCAGTTGTATTTCCCTATATAATCTTTGTATTTTATGGGAAAAACAGAGGGTCATTTCAACGCAGACTTTAGGGTACTTAAACTCAGTATATCTGGCTAATTTTTTGCATACGTTTAGGTCAATGGCTTGAACTTTAGGGAAAACTGTCGGTTTGACTCAAAACCCTCGACGAGGGCTAAAAAGTGACCGCGAGTGAATTCTCTTTATATGAGCTCTATTACGAAAAAAAATTTCCTCCGACGACCCCCCTTGAAATTTTGTGAGGTGGTAGAAGAAGGCCTTGGGGTGTCACAAAAAACTCGCCATGTCCTGGAAAAATCGGGAAATGGGTCAAAACTGACCAGTCGTATTTCCCTATAAAATCTTTGTATTTTATGGCAAAAACAGGGAAATTTTAACACAATTTTTAGGTTACTTAACGTCTGTACATCCTGCTAAGTTTCTGCATACACTACTATAGATGACTATGCCGTATGGAAAAACTGTTGGTCAGACTCAAAGCCCTCGACGAGGGCTAAAAGATGATCGTGAGTGAAGTTCTCCTTATATGAGATATATATATATATAAATAAATTGACGAAAGATCCCCTTAATATTATATGACGTCGTAGACCAACCCTGGAGGGTAACAAAAAAATGTATTCCCGTCGGAAACAGCCATTATAGTCGTTAAATATATTCATATACCGTAATTTCTTATATAACCATAGCAACTGTTTGTAAAAAAAAAAGTAAACAAAGACATACGTCATACGTTCAGTTTTCAAGGGAGGTAACGTTTTTTAAATTATTATTTTTCAAATAATTGTATACTATTTTAAACAGAAACAGAAAATGACGAAGTATAGCATTTTTGTAGTACAAAATTAAGTTGTTAATTCATTTACGTATCCTAATTAAATAATCAAATAAACTTCAAAAGGCAATGTAATATAAACTATTAGATATACTGTTCATGTAACCTGTGTAGTTCTAATTCCACTTTAGTTATACATTGCGTACTTTCCAATATTCCTCTGAGAACGGAATTTTAATAACAAACAAAAACATTTTTTCTAAAGTTCGCATTACTGTTTAAATTAAAGCACTCCTCACCCAATCCATCGCTAAATAATTAAGTATTCAAATTCTCAAATGTTTTTTAAAAACCTAAGCGAAGCTAGGCAGTATGCCTAGTTAGTTTATAAATCTTTGAAAACATAGTGAATTAAATAAAATCACAGATAAATCTGGCTATAGATTAACGTGTAAAATCCGTCTTCTTTATACAGGGGTCGTCCATAAATGACGTCACACTCGTAGGGGGGAGGGGGGGGGGTCCGTAATTTTGTGACGGTGTGTGATGAGGGGGGGGGGTCAGATGATGCGACGTCACACTTTGCATTATAAAACAGCAATGTTAGAAAATGAATTTTAGACGTTATTTCGCGTTTTAGAAAACTGCTTTAATAAATTGTAATAGGAATTGATTAAAATACTCTATTTTGATAGAGTTCAGACAAGATTTTGGAAAAATATCGATGTTTTAAGAAAAATTCAACTGCAATTTTGAGGGGGGTCGTAGGCTTAGGTGTGACGTCATTTTAGTGGGGGTCTGGCTTTTTGTGACGATGTGTGACGGGTGACGAAGGGGGGAGGTCAAAATCGTCCAAAAAAGCGTGACGTCATTTATGGATGACCCCTAAGCGAACTATACACAGCTCATGTCGTTCTAGCAAAATAATCAACCCGATGTATAGGTCCACCTGTACAGTTTTCTGGTATAAAAGTTACACCGTCTTTGACTTTTACTGGAATAAATTAGCTAAACTGAGCATGTAGGAAAAAAAAAGAGAGCGTCTATTTGGTACTTTACTACAAATAGCCCTCAGAAGGCTATTTGTACTTCGCTATTTTTAGCCGACCAATCAAATTTTTTTTTTATCTTGCGTATGACATTCAATTTTTAAAAAATGTGTTGGAACTTTTCTGGTGGTCGAAGTGGTTGTGCATTGGCGTGGGTTCCATTCCGTTTTACTCAGAGATGTTTTTTTTGCTTTTTTTTTCAAAATTTTACTTAAGGATTAGTGTTAAGCATTAGAGTTAGGGTTAGGCATTAAGCTTAGGCTTTAGGGTTAGGGGGTCATCCATAAATGACGTCACACTCGTAGGGGTGAGGGGGGGTCCGTAATTTTGTGACGATGTGTGATGAGGGGGAGGGGGGGGTCCGATGTTGCGACGTCACATTTTTGCATTATAAAAAAGCTATGTTAGAAAACGAATTTTAGACGTTATTTCGCGTTTTAGATAACCGTTTTAATAAATTGTAATAGTTTAGACAAGATTTTGGAAAAATATCGATGTTTAAAAAAAATTCAACTTCAATTTTGAGGGGGGTTGTAGGTTGAGGTGTGACGTCATTTTAGGGGGGGGGGTCTGGCTTTTTGTGACGACGTGTGACGGAGGGGAGGGGGGGAGGTAAAAAACGTCAAAAAGCGTGACGTCATTTATGGATGACCCCTTAGACATTAGGCATTAGGGCTAGGGTTAGGCGTTAGGGCTAGGGATAAGGGTTAGGATTAGGGTTAGGCATCAGGGTTTAGTATTAGGGTTAGGCATTAGGGCTAGGGCTAGGGATAAGGGATAGGATTAGGGTTAGTTACTAGGGTTAGGGAATTCAAGTAAAATTCGATCTAAAAAAATAGTTCTACATAGCATGAATAAGGGAATTCAAGAATCACAGAAAAAATGCCTCGCGCTGATTGGACAGAGTACGCAGAGGCGTAGCGAGGGGGGGGGGGGGGGGGGGGGGGTTGGGGGGTGCGGACCGCACCGGGTGACACCATTTAGGGAGGTGACACCAAGGCAAAAAATAGCAAAATATACACAGAAAAATTACAATTCCACTTAATTAAAAGATTAAATTAGAGTGTT